AAGGAGGGAAGTGAATAAGAGCTGGACAGATAGGTGGAGGAGCGCGAAACTCTCGCCTTCGGCACAGCACGACCCGTTTCAGAGACACGTAGGTTCAAACCAGAGGGCGAAGAAGAACAGAGCTGGAGGAGAGGGAGGGAGAAGGCTTCACCCTAAAATATGTGGACCCACGGGCAATACTCGGACTCTTCTCGTTACATCCCGCTGAATGCTCCAGGCATATACCGGTCCGCCATGCCGGCAGAGAGTCTGTATATCGTATGATACAAAAACATCGCATTATTTTCCTCTCTCTCTGGTCCGGAGCACGCAGTCTCTCCCGCCTCCTTCTTACTCATCTCCTCCGCGAGAAGCCCGCGGGCATGTGACCACCATTATGCCCGTCCTCCTTCTCTTGTCCTGATCTCCCCCTTGTTCTCCTTCTCGTCCTCCTCCGCAACCTCCTTCCTTCCTTCGTCTTGTTCACTTCCCATCCCGCTGTTAGGATATCTTCTGCCTCAAATTACGTATCCGTTAAACGAGACGAAAGCGATGCTTGCCGGCGATCGACTAATTAATTACAACGCAACGTTCGCCTTGGAACGGTTCTCTCTCGCGCGTATTTCCGGATTCCGATTCCTATTTTCAGGAATTAACTTGCCGTAGTATGAAAGGCATTATCGCGTTACGATAATAAAATTTTTGCTCTACACGAAAGATAGTAGGGGAGAATGATCTAAATCAGACCGTGTTCCAAATAGGACCTTTTTAATTTAAATGAATACGGTTAAGCAGATTTGCGTATTATTTATAATGTAAAGTCCTTGTAAGACACCGAACATGTGATAGCAGTTTGACAGTTCTCTGTCATAAAATTCATAAAATATACGCAAATATGTATTTTCAGCCATCGAAAACTTTTTTAAAAAAGAAAATCCTTGTAAATCATTATTAAAAAGGTGTTAAAAATTTGGAAAGTAATTGATTTAAGATAATTAAAGAGTGTAGAATTCAAAAATATCAAATATTTTGTGATCACTTTTGCCGTTTATTGTAAAATTTGTTCCAAAGTTCGAAAGGACTCGTGTCCAAATCGAACAGTACAGTGAATAATTTATAGATCTGGTTGTAGTACAGGTGATCGGCTGACCAGATCTGGTCCAAACAATTAAATTAATAAAATATCATGAGTCATCAGACTCAGATTAGTTGAGTTTTATTGATTTCAATTCTAATAATATAAATAGTCAGTAATTTCTTTTTCCGAAAAAATTTTTATCTTTGACTGTCAAATTGCTCGTTACTCAATACTAAGAAAAATACATTAAAATGTTCTAAAATTTTATCTAAAAATCCATAAAAATAGGAGTTTTCGATCTGAACCAGGGGATAATCCGATTTGGAACTACCGGAAAAGTTTTTACATTTTCCATTATAGTTTAACACAGGTGAGAGATATGTCAAAATGGTCTGAAGCAAAAATGAAGGGAATTAAATGATCTTTCCAATGGCACCTTCGATTTTACGATCGGACTTTATTCACGCCTTATAAAGAGCAAAAACTGCAAATAAGTCCGATTTAGACCACTACTGATGAAAAATACGAAACACTGTATAGGAATTAATTAGAAATGAGCCAATATAGCTTAGACACGAACTAATTGGATACAAGCTAAGACAAAGAACGAAAGTTAAATGCAAGATTATGAATGATTGCTTTACCCTGTCACGCTAAAATTCATTTCGGAATATATCTCCAGAAGATCGATCTATCTATCTATCCATCATGTTTAGGCAGTGCTTACTTTGTGAATTGAGCATCTGTCTTCTTACACTCAGGCGTGAAACGTAATGTTATCAATCATAATATAAAGATCTTGCTGGTGTGTCAGTTACATACATTCTTTTTCTAGTTGAATATGTAGTAAAATCAATAAATCAAAAACATTTATACTACTTGATATTTAATTAAAAATTTTGCTTAAGGAGGTTCTCCAGTCATTTGACATAATATAGGAACTTCAACAAATTTTAAAAATAAATTTGTTATAAAAATTGAGCCATTCCTGAATTTTTAAAAATTTTTTGACCGTCTGGATCGAAAGTTATATTTCAATAAAAAGTAATATTTTTTAAATTTGTACTCTAATAGAAATATATAAAAATGTATTACAAAATAATGATAAAAATCTCAATTTTTTTATATAAGTACTATATGA